ATCTTCGTTAAAACAGGGACCTTCAGCCAGGCATCAGTGGCTCATGCCTGTCATCCCAGCTACTCAGGAGGCTGAGATCTGAGAATCTCGATTCAAAGCCATTACTTAATCACAAAAAAAAAGCTGGAAATGGAGCTGTGGCTCAAGTGGTAGAGAGCTAGCCTTGAGCAAAAAGAAGCTCAGGGATTGTACCCAAGCCTTGAGTTCAAGCCCCAGGACTAGTGCGTGCGCACACACACTTGTGCGCACCCCCCCCCCCCACACACACACACAAAGCAGACTCTCTTGAGCTTAATATCAAGGAATTCTAGTAAGTTTTATTTAAACCACTATATGTCTCAGCTAAAAAATGGTTAGTATAACATCTCACCATTTGGGACTCTCTTCTCATATTTCCCCATTATACAGAGATTCCCTAGGCCCCTGCTTTTGTTCTGATCTCTTTATAAACCCAATCAGAGGTTAAAGAAATTGGGTGGAGCTATAGCAGTCCATACTGGTTAAAAGAATGGAGAGGACAAATAGCCTGGTGGAAGACCACACCTATAAAAGGTGGCCTTCACTCTTAAAGGTAGTGCATCCCTTGAAAGGCCTCTATGTTGACAGATGGTCCCTGCTCCTCAGTGCAATCCAGGTTTTAATATGAATATGAATGCTCCCAGTTTGTCAGAGTTGATTTTCCCTTTCCCATGGCTTCCCAACTCATGTCTTACTCATTTAAGGGTTTTGCAATAACTCCTGCACTTAAATCCTGTGGCTCCCCACCACCTAGAAGTAGAAATCAAGGTATTTAATGTCATGTCTTCTACCTTCCTTGCTCCATTGTAAGCCTCTATCTAGCCTCCCATGATGCACTAGGCCTGCTAATACAGGCCCAGGACAGACACTACAGGTAGCAGGGAGCTGGGCAGGTTTTTTGTTTTTTGTTTCTTGTTTTGGTCAGTCATGGGGCTTGAACTCCGGGCCTGGGCGCTGTCCCTCAGCTCTTCAGCTCAAGGTGAGCACTCTACTACTTGAGCCACAGAACCATTTCCTGTTTTCTGGTGGTTAATTGGAGATGAGTCTCATGGACTTTGTCCTGCCCGGGCTGGCTTTGAACCATGATCTTCAGATCTCAGCCTCCTGAGCAGCTAGGATTACATACACCAGTGCCTGGCTTAGTCTCAGTTTTATTGACAGACCAATTGGTAAATGGTCCTCATCACAGATTTCCCATAGCTCTCTCTAGAGCTTTCATGTCAGTGCTGCATAATAATTGTGAATGTGTGTTTACGAAAGGAACTGGTATTTGGAGCACCATTGTTGGTTGATGCTTGTTGAATGAGTAAACGGATGAATAGGATGAAGACTATAGTTAAGTTCAATAGTTGCATTTTCCATCTTCATATGATTTTAAAATAAAACCTAGTCAGGTAAAAATTTACCTAACTAGAATTTGCTCTGTGTGTGTGTGTGTGTGTGTGTGTGTGTGTGTGTTATGTTCATATTTAAGAAGGAAAAAACAAAGATCAACTTTTATCTACTCCTTCTGTGGACCTCTTACTAGCCTACTGCCACATCCTTTCAGGCCTTATTCATTTCCTGAACTTTCTATGATTTCCAAGTTGAAGAAGACAAAGGGCACTGGTGGCTAAAGCCTGTAATCCTAGCTGCTCATGAAGCTGAAATCTGAGGATCACGGTTCAAAACCAGCCCAGGCAGCAAAGTCCCTGAGCCTCTGATCTCCAGTTAACCACCAGAAAACTAGTAGTGGCTCTGTGGCTCAAGTGGTAGAGTGCTTGCCCTGAGCTGAAATGCTCAGGGACAGTGCCCAGGCCTTGAGTTCAAGCCCCACAACCAGCTGAAACGCTCAGGGACAGTGCCCAGGCCCTGAGTTCAAGCCCCACAACCAGCTGAAGTGCTCAGGGACAGTGCCCAGGTCCTGAGTTCAAGCCCCACAACCAACAACAACCAAAAAAATTGATGTACTTTATGATGACCCTAAAACACAATATGATTGAAAAAGAAATGACAAAAATCGCCCTGAAAGTAAAAGTGGAAAATATTCAACAAAAATCATTTTCTCCCTCAAAAAAAAAAATCCAATTTATTATGATTAGATTATCTGCTGAAATCTGAGTGTTCTATACCTTGTTAAAATCAACACTTAATTATGATCTTGGTTGCTTATACTTCAAACCAATTCATGGAGATGCTTTCTTTAAGAATGGGTTGGATTTGGTTGTTTTGTTGTTATACTTTTTTTTCCCAAAAGAAAGAATTAACTTACAACAAAAAAAAATCTTCAAAGAAAACCTTAGCAAATTTTTCAAAAGTAACAGCATCTTCCATGTGTGTATCTGTGGAATTTATCTTTCTTTTCGTTCTAGGACCCTAACATTTAATGATTCCTTAGCTCTAGGTCTCTTATACAGAGAAGCTTGAAGTGAAATACATAGACAAGAGCTTGCTCATAATTTTTTACATTTAATTTTATGGTTATTCTTAAGGGGTTGTACAGAAATGTTACTATTTCATAAGTCAGGCAATTTCTTTCTTTCTTTTTTTTTCTGGACAATGTCACCCCTTCCTTTGCTTTTCCCCAGCTTCTCCCTCCCATAGTTACATAGTTACCTATGCACATAGGTCCTTTTCCACAGAGTATATACTGAATAGCACAATCGCATTTGTTCTTGATGATTCACTTATTTGGTGTTTCTAAGAAGGAAAATGTTTTAAAGCTCAAGGGTCCTATCTACAGTGGGGGAAGGAGCAGGGAAGATTAGGAAGCAGTTGAGTAAAGTTCAGATTGCCTTCAGGACATTATTTCCAACAAAAGAAAATGTGCTTAGACAAAGTAATTCCCAATATTATACCAAAGCAAAACCTTGTAATTCATATGAACTCTGAACTGAGACCCTCATTTTCTCATTAGGTTTTATTACAGCCAACAAAACTTTCAGTGGTGAATTACTTCCTTTCTCTACTGGCACCAGACTTGCTTAATGTCTGCACAAGCTGAAATGATGGGATGTTTTTTTCACCTAACTTTAGGGATTAGGGGGTTAAACAAAATAAAGAGGAAAAAAGAAAGGTAAACCTGAGTCTTTTCATCTCAGTACTAGCCAAAGTATGGTTTTCCAACATTATTAGTTGCCTTTGAAAAATAAAAATGAAAAAACTAAAATGTCACTGGGTTTACCCAATTTAAAGTCATGTGATTTCATTCAAGTTGCCTTGAAGGACAAGTCATGTCCACAAGAAATATAAACAAATTAGTCCTAAATTCATGGCACAGGTAGGAGGCTGATATGTCAATAAAAGCTTTCTTCTTTAAGTGATCACAGTGTCAAGAAATGAGATCTTCTCCTTGCATTTAAGCCAGAGAGAGGGTCCAACATAAAAAATAAGCAGTTGATGTTTCAACACAGAATGTTGACAAATATTTTGCTTCACACCCTTGTATCATGCCAGCTATCAGAAGCATTGCTTCAGTTTGCTATTTATCAGGCATAAGATAGCCTACCCTTAAGAAGTTATAATTTAGTTGAGAAGTGAAAGTGTAACATGATTTTGAAAGTAAGGATGCAGGACAAGACATAATTAAGTATTAAGCAATGTGGTACAGATGCTAGGCGATCAGAGGATAGGAAAGATGGCTGAGGGCTGAAACTGTCAAGAGAATGGACTCTCAGTAAATTCTTAAAAGGATGCTAAATTAGGAAGCAGTTCTAATTGGCACTAATTTATAATTTTAAGGCATTGACATGATTTGCCATTGCTTTCCAGCCAGAGGCTGTTTAAAAGCACATACATGAACAATTGAAGTTGGCAGGGAATATTTCTTTCTAACTCCCTGGGTTTGCTAATGTGCAACAAAAGCACATACTTTCGTGTTGGATGGCAGACACAAAATCTGAGCAGATTTTGCATGGGGAATTTGGTGAAAGGAGTATGGAACTCTGGCTGTGATTTCTGGTATGTGTTTTGGTTTCTAATGAACTATCTTGTTGCAAGTTTTTAGTCTGAGGGATAGGTAGGCTCAAAATGTGTTTGTTGATTTGGGAAGATCCATTTTGACAATCTCTTCTCATTGTGAGAAAATTAGATTCAAAAGGTGAGTTATAGTCTCAAAGCAGGATTTTTCTAATTCCAAAAAAGTAGTGGGGTTCAAGAAGGGCGGAGTGAATATAGTATCCTTTCAAATGAAAGTACCTAAATTGCAAGCTGTCTTTTGAAGTCAAGAGACTGCCAGGGTACCTTTCACTGTTAAAATCGTCTGCTCTTTACAGTTTGACCAAGATCCTAGGCCTTCCGAGTGCTTTGACCATGCTTGCAATGCCATGGGTCTGAGTTCAATTCGGTTTGTTATGACCGAGCTGTTTGAACGGCTACCACAGGCATGTTTCATCTTCTGTTTTGAGTCACTTCAAGCAAGTTTCAAGAATTGCAGTGTGCACTTTTTTTCGTCTCTGTGCTTGATTGTATTTAAGGATCATCCCCAAGAAATGCCAATTTTACTTCCGACTCTAAAAAGAAAAAGGGAGGGGCACGTTTATGTAACAGTTGTTCAATTTGGCAAAAGAGCACACTCTTCTGTTCCCTTCGGGGAGGAAACCTACAATCCTGGGAGGTGATTGAATTTTACTCTTAGGGACTTTCTAACAGAGACTTCCAGCTCCCCGGGGTGTGTGTGTGTGTGTGTTGGGGGTAGGTGTGGCTTTATTTTTTCCATATTGTTATTATTATTTTTTCCTGGTCTCGAGTTTTGCATTTCTAATGAAAGGAGACTGGCAAGGCGTGAAAGTGGTCCGGGGAGCAAAAACAAAGCCAGCAAGCACGCTTGTGGTGTGCCAAAATTAATCAATATTCCAGTAACCTCGGGGCTCCCTCGCTGGCCTGTGTGGTTTTTATTCCCCCCGCCCCCCGCCCCTCCCGCCCCGCCCAGGCCCCGCCCCTTTTCTTAAGTTGCTGTGATTGTAACTTGCAGTTTCTGAGCACATGCATTTGGTCAGGGCCAGGCTGCCCCCGGCTCCCTCCGTCCTGTTTCTCCGTTGTACCTGCTGGGGAACTCACCTTGTCATTGCTGAGTTATCTTCCGTCCGTTTTTAAAAAACATTGTTTGTTTGTTTTTCAGAAAAGGTAAGTGTAACGTCCTCTGCTGCTAACTGGGTTGGATTTCTCTCCTTCCACCTCCTCTCTGTCAATGTGATCTGTCCCCCAACGCAGGAGAGAGTAGCCAGAGTAAGAGCTGGGCCATTTTGGGAGATAAAGTCCTTGTTAATTCAACTTGGTGAGTGTATTTGTGCCGATCCCCTTCTTAATTCGGTGTGGAGTCATTCGTTGTGGTTGGAGACCTTAGACAAGAATCAAGACTGAGCTGATCTTTAGTGCGCGTGTGTGTGTGTGTGTGTGTGTGTGTGTGTGTGTGTTAATCTGAACCCTCCCCCCTCTCCACGTTTCTTTAAGCTTTTAATCTGGTGTAAAGTTTTAAACAAGTGGTAGGTCTTATTATCCACGACCTGCGATGCTATTTAAAGTCGAGCCTTTTTTTCTCCTTTACCTCCGCTGGAGCTGCCCGGGCTGGCGACGCGTCCCGGGGACTGCAGCTGCCTCCCCCGCCACACGCAGGCTGCTCGCTTTGCCAGAAGCACAAATCCACAGGCGGCTGATTTTCCCTGGGATTGGTCAGGACCGCGGACCAGGGATTAGAACTCTTGTAACACAGCAGGAGGAGGCTTTCTAATTTTTTTCCTTTTTTTTCCCCCAGAACTGATTTCCAGCAAGAAAAAGCATATGCTTAATTGTATTTGAATAACCTAAGAAGAGCACGTTAATAATAAGTTAAAAAAAAAAAAAACAGAAAACACACATTGTAATGTTTGGAATGAAATTGGATTCATTTCATTTGTTCCAAAAATTTAAAGTTTTAAAATACTTGGAAGTCAGTGGATCCTTTCCACGGGAGACTCCCGTGTATTAGCCACAAACATAAACGTTACTCTTTGCTTCTACTTGTAACACAATGAATTAGGGCTTTAGATCATTTGTAGATGTGCCTGGAGCACTTTACTTATTTCATGGAAAATTTCAAAAGTTACACTGTAAAACAAATGTATTTCTTATGTCCCCTGGCCATTTCGTATGTTTTTTTTTTTAAATGATCATATCAAGTAGCTGATAGTTTCATGATTTTTAATAATGAAAATAGTTACTTCACTACACATAATAGAAACATTCAGATTAGGATCCATATTGTAATCCTTTTCACTGTCCTGGCTGTTATCAAGTTACTATGGCTGGCGTACTTCCTGTGTGTTTCAGTTCACTTGGAGATTTATTGAATGCGTACACTGTGTAAGGTGCTTGGCTAGGTTCTGAGGGACAAGGTGGGAATAAGGGGGTAATGGGTCAGAAATAAGCTTTCAAAAATCTGATCAAAGAGACAAACTTCAATAATAGATCACATTTCTGCATATTCTGTTTATTCTGAATTTACCCCATTTCTCACACGTGCTCCAGTAAAATATACTTGGAAGTCTGATACTGCAGCTCTTCTGTCCCTGACTTCTACTGAGATTGCGCAATTTACCCGTAGCCTGCCCTAGTGTGGGAAGTACTGTTTCCTCACTCCTAAAGCTATAACCCTTGTCTCTCTCCCTCTCATTCTAGTAGTGTTCTCTTAATACCAAAAAGGAGGCTTGACTTCCCGGGACGAATTCTGAGACACCCAAGTGCAAAGAAGTAAGACTTCCAGAAAAGTAAAACATGACAAAAAGCAATGGAGAAGAGCCCAGAGCAGGGGGCAGGATGGAGAGATTTCAGCAAGGAGTCCGTAAACGCACGCTTTTGGCCAAGAAGAAAGTGCAAAACATCACCAAGGACGACATTAAAAGTTACCTGATTCGGAATGCTTTCGTGCTGCTCACCGTCACCGCTGTCATTGTGGGTGAGTCCCTTGATATACACAGAAACAAAACGGAGTATCTCATCTCTCCAAGGCGTCTGGCTGCTGTGGATCACTATCAGATAAACTGATTGTAGGCAATCAAAATGATAGCCTAGCCTGCTGTGGTTGTTCACGTTTGTAATCCCAGTCGTGCGTAGAGTAGGCCAGAGGATCTAAGTTCAAGGGCAGTCTACACTATATAGAGATCTGTAAAACAAAAGTTTTTAAGATACTCCAGGTTCTTCCCTGCATTTGCAGATTTTCTTTCATTTTTCCCCCCAGAGTAGTTTGCTGGTATGCTTATAGTGATATATGGCAGATATCTGGGAATCTAAAAGAGACTTTATTAGGCATTATGCAAATCAATTAATTGTACGAAAAGAAGAAATAAGCCAAACGTGTTCCCAATTCATGCAGGGATAAAGGAGTGATAATTTAATCATTAGGCATGAACAATTAAATAATAACAAAAACAAGGAAACATGCGAGACTTGGCCAAAGTACAATCATTATTCAAGGTCACTTTTACTTAAAACTAATTTACACAATTAGTACACCCAAAATGAAATATGGGTCCCTAAAATTAATTATATTCTAACTGCTGCTAACTCCAAACCTTGAACATAGTAGCCGAATCTTTCTTGTTTGCACTTTCTCACTCAGAAGCTGGGAAAGGTAAGCAAGGAAAATGTTAACACAGATCTCTCATTCATAGCCACACAGGGCCGCCATAGTATTTTAGTCCCTACTAATTTAGCATGGTTGACAGCAATCAATAATAATAATAAATATTTTGTTTGGTTTATTGGTATCTAAAATTTTAGTTTAATGTTTATGTGTGGCATTGATCGTACCTTTAAATATAGATGAAAAAAACTACCTATTTGAAATTTTTGACCAAGCCAATACAGAAATCCTTGAGTTGGCAATGTATAAGCTAATACTACATTGTAAAACAAATGAACAAAAATGCTCAAACTTGTTTTTTTTTAAAAAAAAAAAAGCTCTAACAACAGTTTCTACCAATTTACCACCCAAACAAAAAGGCATTCATGTGGTTCTCATCTCTGCCTAGTACTTAGCCAAGATTTGTTAGCTATAAAAAGATAATAGCTTAAGTAAGAATTAAGAAAATTCTAGTGTTTAATATCTTTGGCTTCTTTCCATAATTTTTGATTAATAAGTATTCAATTCATTGTAGAGATGCTCAAAATGAATGTGTCCTGATTCACCTAGAAAAGTCATGGCTTACTCTTGCAGATTTCCAGGTGTGAAATATTTTATTTTACTCTTAGAGAAACTATTTTAACACTGGGATACCATACAAACTGCAGTATCCTTATCTTGCTATTTTTGGTCTGAATCATAGTTATTAAGCCAAGTCATAGTTAATACTTCTAGGAAACAGTCATGTAGTAAAAATTCTGGCTATTTTTTGGGTGTTTTATGTTAGATTAGCTCATTTAGTCTTCAACTAAGCCTATTAAGTAAGTGGGTGGGTATGATTATGAATTTGCACTTAATTTCATAGATGAAAGGTCACAAAATTAGTAAAGTTAGACCAAGAGATCAAACTCATATAAAGCTAGGGGCTATCCTCATAACCACTTGACTATCCTGTTTCTCTTCTCTTCTGCCTGGTTGATCTCTTATGAAAGATGCTAGGAAGAGAAACGCTGTCATTTGGTGGAGGAGACCATTTAGCCAGCAATGCTTGGTCATTGTAATCTTATTATTTGACACTCATAAGAAAACTTATAATTCGTGTACAATTAAGCCATACTCCTCTTGTTCATTTAACAAACACCCATTTATTTTGCAATCCGATATGCATAATAGAACAGCTCACTAATACTAGAATATGTTTGGGAGAGATGAAGAAATGTCTATTCAGAATGGTTCCCTAAACACCAGAAGAGTTCAATCTTCAAGCAAGTAATATTTCTGTCTTGGAAGACTGGAAAATAATAAAATCTGAACATGGAAGGTAGACTGATGGAGAAGGAAGTTCCTAACTGTAAAGGAATACATTTCTAATAAAAGTCAAAATGTCCATTTTCTCTATAAGTTCCAGAATCATTTCCTAACCTAGTGAGGCCTTTCCTCAGATTTGTGAGAACTGCAATGAGAGTTGGCTGAGCGAGGGTAGATAAATTGGCTGAGTGCCTTCATGGTTGGCTTTACTCAGGGAGACTGAGGAGTTAGTAGCAAGGAGAAGAAGGCACTAACAAAGAAACACATAAAAAGAGCTCATTGATAGTCAGAGAGACCACCAAGTCTACACACACCAAAGACTCGGAATAACAAATAGACAACTTAGTAGCAAACAGATTTGAGAGAAGGAAGAACCCTCCAGTTATCTGTTGGTGTATCTCCCATTGAGGGCCCCACAGAAACAAAGGCTCCATTCAGGTTGTCACTGGGTTCTATGTCTACCTTAGCCCTACACAAAATGTGTCTGACTATTGACTCTGTAATTTATCTGCAGCATGGAGAGGATCAGGAAAATTCTAGCAAGAAAGCAGGAAGTAGCTGTTTGTTTTTCCCTACAATATATGAGAAGAGCTATAATAATTAGTGTTCAGATTCTTAGCCTCTAATAACTTTCTAGAAAAGCTTATGAATTAGGATTGATTTTGATTTCAGTCTGTTTTAAAAATAAAATGGATGTGCAACTAATGGATGAAAAAAAGAAACTCAAAAAAATATTATGGAGGAGAGACATGTGTGTCCACACAAGAGATCTGGATTTCAATGTCAGGTTCTCAATACATATAAGCAAAAGACCACTAATGCAATTTTATCTCATTTCTAATCTCATTTCTAAACAATGTCAAAGTCTAATAAGCAACACTAGAGCCCAGCTTCATGTGACAAGAGCAGGTCAGCAACCTGCTAGATACAGTTCCAAGCTGCAAGTCCCTTTAAGAGACTTTGTGAGGAAAGTTGTAGATAATATGCCTTCTAAGGCTATTGCAAGCATCTGTCTGATACAAACATACTGAGAAGAGTGGTCCCAGTTTTGCTTTCTCCTCCAGAAAGCACTTTTCCATTTCCAACGGTGGTAAGGTATGTTAGAGAGACCGCAAACATCTCACAGAGAGAAATGGAAAGTTCTTTGTCATGATCAGGTCACAGGATATGACTCTTTTCCATGTCCAAGGGAGGAATTGCACAATGAAATAAAATCTCAAGCAAAGAACTCTGAATGGCTCTTAAGCTCAGCTGAAGGGGTGAGAGTCTGCAGATAGACTTGTGTAGACAGATGGCAGTTTTCCTAATGAATTATTGGACTCTGTAACTGGTATCTTTCTCTGTGCTCTCTCTCTCTCTCTCTCTCTCTCTCTCTCTCTCTCTCTCTCTCTTACACCCACATCCACACCAACACATACACACACATCCTGGGAATTTGCACTTGAGATGTCTTTATAAAAGGATATGGGCAGGGAAGGTGGCTCTTTGGCAGAGCGCTTGCCTTGCATGCATGAGGCTCTGGGTTCAATTCCTCAGCACCACATAAACAGAAAAAGTGGTGCTGTGGCTTAAGTGGTAGAGCTCTAGCCTTGAGCTGAAGATCTGAGGGACAGAGCCCAGGCCCAGAGTTCAGGCCCCACAACTGGAAAAAAAAAAAAAAAAGTTTGGACACATACGGATTACATTTTTGTAAAGCATTTCTTCATTCTGTAATACTCTTTGGCAGTAAACTTAAATTGCAGCAAAATTCAGTGTAATTTCAAAGTCACTTAAGAAAGGGGATGGATAGAATATCACTTTCTTCTGAATAAGTTTTTATACAATTTGTCAGTTTTTGTGTAGTATTAGGTTTTATTTCAGGAGCTTTTACTCATTAGTCAGGTGTTCTACCACTTGAGCCATGTTTCCATCCCATTTTTTGCTTTAGCTATTTTTCAGACAGGATCTCATGGGCTGTCCCAGGGCTGGCCTCAGACTGTATCCTCCTATTTACAGCCTCCTATATAGTTGGGATTATAGGAACTATTAGCTATTTGCTGCTGAATAAATAATCTAAGTGGTTTATTTAAGTTTGCTTAGCATGCCGATGCTCAGTCCTGAAAAAAAATCAAACTTCAAAGCTGTCCATCAATTTAATAAATACTGAATGTTGAATATCTGGCCATAATGTGAAGTGGATATTCCTACTCTCAGGTAGTTTACTGGAAAAGATGAATAAAAAAATTAGTTGTGGAAGGAATATGCAGGGTCAGAGGTAATGATAGGTTTATAAATAACTCTGAAATTTAAAAAATGAAATAATGATATTATGGAATGATATGTACCACCCTAAATAATATGGTGCATCTTTCTTGTTGGTATTTTGAGGTTTGTTCCATTTGCTCATAAAGACCTGCACTGATATCTCTGGATGTGCTATGTTTTGGTGAAGTATGTACTTGGTTCATAATAGTTGTATTATTTACTATCTGTGTGATTCAAAGGAAAGCATTTGACCTCTCTGAGCCTGTTTTCTTATCTGTCATCACAGCTATAATACCTACCACCACCAATAATAGCTAGCATTCACACTTTATGCCAAGCTATGTTGTAGTTTGACTTCATTGAAAACCCAAATAACCCAGGGGGGAGTCATTTTTTGCAAGGCATGCACTCTACCGCTGAGCTACCTTCCCAGCCTGGGAGTCATTTTGGTTGGTCATGGGGCTTGAACTCCCAGACACTTCCTATTTTCTGGTGGTTAATTGGAGATGAGAGTCTCACGGACTTTCCTGCCTAGCCTGGCTTTGAACTGCGATCCTCAGATCTCAGCCTCCTGTGTAGCTAGGATTACAGGTGTGAGCCTGTATGACCCTTATGGTTTACTAGCAGCTGTTGGGCTAAACTAACTGCTAGTGCTACCACAATGGCCTCCTGCTGCATGCTGGAATCGGCACAGCTCTGCACCCATGCAGCGTCACTACCTCCTGTCCCCGGAATAGGAGCCGCTCCACACAGGCTGAACTACAGGAACCGAATGAATGGCT